TGCATCCTACTTTGGTGAGTGGCATCTGGGGTCTTAAAAGCTTGCAAGCGGCCATCTAAGATGCATCAGTTGGTCCCAACCACCTGGAGTAAAGAAGAATGAAGAACAGCAAAGACATAAGGAAAGTATTAGCCCAAAAGACAGAAAGGGCCACGTAAACCAGAGACTTCATCAGCCTGAGACCAGAACTAGATGGTGCCCGGCTTCCACCAATGACCGCCCTGAGAGGGAAGACAACAGAGAGTCCCGGATGGAGCAGGAGAAAGGTGAGATGCAGAACTCAAATTCTAGTAAGAAGACCAGACTTAACGGTCTGACAGAGACTGGAGGAACCCCAGAAAGTGTGGCCCCTGGATTCTCTATCAGCCGAGAACTAAAACAGTTTCCGAGGCCAACTCTTCAGACAGGGATTGGACTGGACTGTGAGACATAAAGTGATACTCATGAGGAGTATGCCTCTTAGCTCAAGTAGATACAAGAGCCTAAACAGGCAGCTTTTGTCTGGAGGTGAGATGGGAGGGCAGAGAGGGTTAGGAGCTGGTTGAATGGACATGGGGAATCGGTTGAAAAGGAGGAGTGTGCTGTCACAGTATGGGGAGAGCAATTAGAGAAGCATAACAATGTATGCATAAATTTTTGTATGGGAAAAAATTTTAAAAAAGTGTTCAATTACATACCTTTTAAACAACTTGGTATAAGTGAAAAATAGTGTCAGCCCACCAGCCAACAAACAATATAGTGTCACTGGTATGTATTGTGATTTCTATTAATTTAAAACGTTATCTTGAAGTTTTCATTTGTAATTAGAGTAACTTGCAATTTTTGCAAGTATAATGGCAATTCTTTAAGAATGAACATTGCTCTTAGAATTATTATTTTTTTGTTGGAAACATTTCCATTAATATTTTAATGTTTTTGAATATTGATAAAATGTTGAATTATGATTGCTCTATAGCTTATATTTGCTTAAAAATTAGTTTTCCTTTCCTATAAAAGAAATTTATTTTTAAAATTCCTTCACTGTGTTTTAAACCAAATAAAGAAGTAAACCTGCATTGTGAATAGTTGTCTTAGGAGCTATGGAAAATTCAGTGGCATTTAAGATAAATTTTAAGAAATTACTGTTATATTTTTCCTATCCATAATATTTATCTCTTTTCTAATTTATATTATGATACTATGCATGTTTTTGTAAACAAAATAAAGTCCTTCTTAGAATCAAGGTGGAAATCATTAAGTAGATAGAAGATTGAAATGTAGTTTTTCATGTGTTTGGGTTGTATGGAGCAATAATTAAAAAATAATAATTAAAAGTATTTTGTTTTAAAACATCTCTTGGATTTATAAGCTGTATGGGAAGAAAAGTTTAAAAAAAGCTTACTTTACATGAATTTACCAACTTCTTGGTGAGGTCTGTTGGATTCAATACTGTGTTTTAAGGTTGAATCAATTTTAAATATAATTTTTTCATATTTTGAAATTATAACTTGACAAGATATTCAGAGGTCACTGTAACTGAAGCATCTGAAGATGATTATGACTATGAAGAGGTAATTTGTTCACTTTAGGTATTTATTCTGTAAGTTAATTGTAGACATTCTTGTGAAGTGTTCATTTTCTTTTCTGAAACATGTAAACCAGTTTGTTTTTTTTCTCCTTAGAGTTGCTAGTTTTTCAGGTGGATTTAGCTAATATCAGCTTGTTAGGAGTGAGGTGTGATAAGTTGATTTAAGCATTTAAATTGATTAATAAATCTGACTCTTTTGGTTTTCCTGTTAATTATCCTTCTGAGTCAGCTCCTGATGGCCTGCCTTATGGCTTCATGCTACGAACTGTCATCTCTGTCCATCAGACAGGTGGAATCAACTCCACAGCAATGGGTTTGGGTTTGGGTTTTTAGTCTGCTCTGGGTCAGGTTTCCTAGCCTCCCACTACTCAGCTGGAACTCAAGTCCTGTGCTGCCTTCCAACTTACTGCATTTCTGTCTACTGTGGTTCCTGTCTCAAGGCTCTCCTTTAATTCATTGTTCCCATGAGACCTATTATTACTTCTGAACTTTCCAGGATAAAATCACTCCTAAATGACAGAACTTGTGAGTGAAACTGTGGAGAAGAAAGCCTGGCAATTTGTGGGCTGGATGAGGAAGAGACAGGAGAAACATAGGAGACAGTTTCGTTTTTTTTTTTTTTCTCCGCTGGTAAAATGGAGATATTATTTTCCACATGAAGTTACTGTATAAGTTAATAAATGTAAACGGCTTAAAACAGTGAGTGACTCATAGGAAGCATGCACTATGCCTTAACTATCATTAATATCATAATTAGAGTTGATTGCATGCTTCCAAGAACTTAACTCTTAGGCAGAGAGTTTTTGGTTTATTTGTTTTTTTAATAAAGTAGAGATTTGCAGTTGCTAGTAGTTACGAAAAAGTAATGGTGGAGAAAACCTGGGATGGAGAGTAAATGGTGGCATTTAGATGGGCTAACTTTTTTTTTTTTTTTTTAGTAGAATTGCTAGACTACATTTACTGTTATAGATAAAAGCAGTTGCCTATAATTTAATCTCCAGCTTATTAGAAATGGCACTAAGTGACATTTACAGGGAAATCAGAAAGCTGCCTGATTGTTAGTAATCCATTTTTCATAGCTCTTTGAGTGACTTGGTATCGTAACATAAAATGTATTTCTTTGATCATTTGCTTTGCTTGTGAGGAAAAATGATTTCTGAAATGAAATAAGGTATTTTTATATTCCTGCTCACTCTTCCTATCCTTCTCTTTCTTTGTGCTTTAGATACCAGATGATAATTTTTGCATTCCAGAAGGTGAAGAAGATCTGGCAAAAGCAATTCAGATTGTTCAAGAACAGGCTACAGATACTTATATTTTGGTGAGAATTTTGAGCACAACTGTAGTCTATAATTTAGCCAAGAAACTTTTCATGTGAAGTTTAGAAAGTCATTCAAACTTTAAGTACATTACCTTACTCCATGCCGTCCTGTTGCCTTCTGTGTATAGTATTCATATTTATCATCAAGCCTTCACTTTAAGTAAACAATCATATTTACTTTTCTTTGGATTGTCATTCTCCACATTACGGCCACTCTTGCATGACTTTCCAACAAGTGACACTTTCCCTCATAATCTGCCTGTTTAATCTCACTCACATTGCTCCAAGGAGTTTCAGCACTCATGCGTAGTCAGAGTTCTCCAAAGAAACGTAACTAGTAGGATATGTGTGTGTGTGTTTACGTGTGTGTACACACGCATGTGCATGTGTGTGTCTATGACTTATTTCAAGGAATTGGCTCCTGTGATTTTTAGGGCTAGCAAGTTTGAATCCATAGATTTCTAGGGCAGCCTGGAAAGCTGCAAAATCAGGCTAGAGTTGCAGATGTGAGTCTGATACTTGTAGGGCAGGCTGGAAACTTGGCAAGAGTTGACACTGCAGTCTTGAGGCAGAATTTCTTCCTGTCTGGGAAACCTCAGTTTTTGCTCTTAGGCCTTCTGACTGATTGAATGAGGCCAACCCACATTATGGAGGGTAACCTGCTTTACTTAAAGTCAGCTGATTGTGGATGTTAACCACATCTACAAAATACCTTCACAGCAACACCTAGATTAGTGTTTAATTAAGTAACTGCCCTAGCCAACTTGGAGCCCTGGTGGCGCAGTGTTTAAGAGATTGGCTCCTAATGAAAATTTGGCAGTTCGAATCCACCAGCCACTCCTTGGAAACCTTATGGGGCGGTTCTGCTTTGTCCTATAAGGTTGCTATGAGTCTGAATTGACTTGACAGCACAGGTTTGGTCTTTGGTTCTAGCCAACTTGACGCATAAAAAACGACCATCAGAACTCATGTACAGAATTTAGTATTTTATACAGATCCTATAATCGCTTATAAACAGATAGAAGAAAAGCCACGGGGGTAAAAATAAAAAACAAAAATTTCTTTTAGTCTTTGCAGAATGGCTCTATATTGGGTCAGTCTTTAACCAGGCTTTCACTGAGCTGGGAGATCCACCCTAGGAGACAGCTTAATATTACCTCACATCTTTCTAGGCATATGTTTTGCCCTGGGCAATGTGTGTGGCTCTCTGAATTATACACACTTTATTATTTGATTATTCTTAAATAAATGTATTGTTTTCTTTGCACTTTTGTGAAATGTAGAGTTTATTCTTATTTTAATTATGCTTTAGGTGAAAGTTGACAGCTCAAGGTAATTTCTCATACAAAAATTTATACACACATTGTTATGTGACCCTAGTTGCTATCCCTATAATGTGACAGCACATTCCCCCTTTCCACCTTGGGTTTCTCGTGTCCATTCACCCAGCTCCTGTCCCTTTCTGCCTTCTCATCCCGCCTCTGGACAGGAGCTGCCCATCTAGTCTCATGTATCTACTTGAACTAAGAAGCACACTCTTTACAAGAATTATTTGATGTTTTATAGTCCAGTTAATCTTTGTCTGAAGAGTTGGCTTTGGGAATGGTTTCAGTTCTGGGTTAACAGAGTCCGGGGACCATATCTTCTGGGGTTCCTCTAGTCTCGGTCAGACCATTAAGTCTGGTCTTTTATGTGAATTTGAGTTCTGCACCCCATTTTTCGCCTGCTCTGTCAGGGACTCTGTTGGGTTCTGTGTCAGGGAAGTCATTGGTGGTAGCAAGGCACCATCTAGTTCTTCTGATCTCAGACTGATGGAGTCTCTGGTTTATGTGGCCCTTTTTGTCTTGGGTTAATATTTTCCTTGTGTCTTTGGTGTTCATTCTCCTTTGCTCCAGGTGGGTTGGGACCAATTGATACATCTTAGATGGCCTCTGGCAAGCTTTTAAGACCCCAGACGCCACTTACCAAAGTGAGATGCAAAACATTTTCTTAATAAACTTTATTGTGCCTGTTGACCTAGATGTCCCCTGAAACCATGGTCTCTAGACCCCTGCCCCTGCTACTCTGTCCCTCGAAACTTCTTAGCTTTTGGTTTAGTCCAGTTGTGCTGACTTTCCCTGTCTAATTATACACACTTTAAATGGGTGTCCTTTAATGCCCCAGTTTCCCAAGGAAATTTTCTCCCCAGGGTTTTGACCCCAGCCTGTCAGTGCCCTTCTTTGCCCCAGGTGATCACAGGCTTGTTAGCAGCGCATCATACTGGTTCTTTCTGGTTCAGTCATGGCCGAGGAAGTGACACTGGTACAGACTCCAAATTTTAGAAGTTAGGTGAACTGGAATGGTAGCTGGAATGGGACAAATTATGTGTCAAAGCCCTGGTAGAAAGTTATTCTACCTCTTAGAAAACAAGGGCAGCATATATGTTGCATAGCAACCAAATCTCTTGCCAGTAGGATTTTGTGCAGAGTTGGAAACAGTGCTGTCCTGCTCAAAGATGGCTGCTGACATGCCCCTTTGAATGTGTATCACTCTCTGCAGTCCTGGAAATAACCCAGTAATTCATGCATCAGGCTCCTGAAAGGACTCGTTACACCTCTTCCAAGTCTCCCATTCCAGGGCTTCAACCTATAATTTTTTCCATTCTGGTTGCCATTCCAGATTACCCAAATTGTAAAAATTCGAGTCTGTTCCAGTTTTACTACGTCAACCAGTTCAAAGCCCGGCTTCTTGGTTCACCTTACAGTGCCTCAGGCTGTACTGCCTCTCCTCATCTCTGAGCAACCTCTAAGATGGAGGAAACTGAGACAAGCACTTTGCTTCAGTCCTTTAAATTCAAATGGGCAAATGATATTCTTCGTTAATTAAGTGCTCACTGTTCACTCCAGAACCAGGGACCAAGATCCCAAGCTGGAAACACTGCTACCACTTTTAGCTGGCTTCTGAGTAGGGGATGGAGATGGTGCTCAAATTAGTATCAAAAAAAAAAAAAAAAAGGTCTCAGAGCCTTCCTATCATTCCGTAAGCCTTATCCCAGCTGCCGTGACCCCCCTACTGTTTACCAGAGTTCCAATGATGTTAGTACTGACACTTTTTGCTTGTTTTTTGCTTTTTCTGTGTGAGGATGGGAGTGTGAACCTTCTTCCTCTGCCATCTTGGTTCTGATCTGTACTAATTTTATTAAGGAATATAGTGGGAAATGGTTATTTATTATAAGATCATCAGTTAGAGGTGTATAACACTGATGGCATTAAAACTCATTTAAAAATGGACAATAATTTAATGATTGGTATGGATTTAATTGTATCCCCTCAAAATGTATGTCAACTTGGCTAGGCTATGAGTCCCAGTTTTGTGTGATTATCTACCATTTTGTCATCTGATGGGATTTTCGTATGTGTTATAAATCCTACCTCTATGATGTTAATGATGCAGGATTGGAGGCAGTATAATAATGAGGCAGGACTCAATCTACAAGATTAGATTTTACCTTGAGTCAATCTCTTTTGAAATATAAAAGAGAGAAGCTAGCAGAGAGACAGGGGGACCTCATACCCCAAGAAAGTAGTGCCAAGAGCACAGTGCATCCTTTGGACCTGGGGTTCCTGTGCTGAGATGCTCCTAGACCAGTAGAAGATGTATGGCAAGGACCTTCCACCAGAACTGACAGAAAAAGCTATCCCCTGGAGCTGGCACCCTGAATTCGGACTTCCAGCCTCCTAGACTGAGAGAATAAATTTGTCTTTGCTAATGCCATCCACTTGTGGTATTTCTGTTGTAGCAGCACTAGATAACTAAGACAATGATGAGAGCAAAAATATTTTTAAAAGTGCTTTATATTCTCGTATCATCACTAAGTAAGATGGACCTTTTTTTCTGACAATGAAACCATTTTATACTGAGAAATGTGAAGGAAATTGTGATACTGTTTTTTTGCTGTAGATTTGATTTTTCCAGTGCAGAATAGTATGTGATGAATTTCACTTCATATTCTGTCCTATGCTAATCTTTCAGTATCTTGTAGACTACCTCAATCTGGAAATCTAGTTATTCTTTTCCAAAATATCTAGCCACTCAGTATTGAGAAAAGCCCCAAAGGAGGATTTCTTGCAGTCAGAATTGATTATATGCTGTTATAAATGGAGTGCTCCAACTCATAGAAAGCTATATTCTTAATGAATTTGATAGATACTGTTCCTTCTAGGTAGACGCAAAGGGAGATCTATTGCATTCTTAAAGTAGGAACTCCTTTCTCATAATCAAGGTATAGACTTAGTAGTTTGTTGGATATCGCAATACAATAATTTATAGGAATAAGTTTAAAATATAGTATTTTGAATGAGGTGCAACTGAAATTTTTATTTTAATGCTCATCATCTTCCCCCTTTGTATCATTAATTATAAAAGGCTTTTTAAAAATGCCTTATGTACCACTCATTTGTATTGGTACTTTGTAAAGTAATATGCCTAACATAGTACTTGGCACGTAAAATAAACATAAAAATCCATTGGTCTTAAAAGGTAAACCTTATTTTATTTGTGATTTGTACTTTACCCCCTTAATTCACATTAAGTCAAATATAGTGGATTGAAAAATCTATAGGCAGGGTTTGGGGTCAGGTTATCTCTTTTGTTGAAATTACTCAACTCTGCCATGTGATGCAGAAGCAGCCATAGACAATATGTAAATAAATGGGCATGGCTGCATTCCAGTAAACTTCATTTACAAAAACTGCTGATCCCTGATCTAATAGACTTTTACTTCCATTATGAATTTGTAGTGCAAGTACCCTTCATTGTACAGTATTTCTTCCATAGTTTTCTAAAAATCCGTATAAAAAATTGTTGTAATTTTTAATATGATGATAATAATTAAGAAAAATTAAAATGTTCATACTTTTTTTTTTTTTTTTTTGATTTGTGATGTGGTATTGAAAGGGCAAGCTGGCTTTCTTATTGTCCTTCAAACAATCCAGTCACACTCTTACCTCAGGGCATTTGCGCTTGCTGATGCATATAATTGGAACCTGACCCACTCTGCCTCTTCATTTAGGTTTGTGCTAATATGCCACTTTATCAAGAGGTCTTTCATCATCACACTACATGTATAGCAACCCAGCTCCACACACTTATATGCCTTACCCTTGGCTCTCCCTATCTTCTATCTTCTGCTTTATTTTTCCCCATACATTTAGTACTATCTGCCATAATGTATATTATTTATTTATTCATTTTCTGTCTCTATCCACTTGACTATAAGTTTTGTGAGGACAGAGATTTGTCAGTTTTCTTCTTGGCTTTATCCCCAATGATTAAAGTAGACCCCACCACATAGTACTCAGCAAACATTGTTAAAAAAAGAATGAATGAATGAATCAAGCTTTCATGTTCTCAAAAGAAATAATAGCACATTTAAATTTCAGGAGCAGAAAACAGTTCTTCCTCCGAAGCATGCAGTACCTGAAGTAATAGAAGACTTTCTTTGCAATTTCCTGATTAAAATGGGAATGACCCGAACTCTTGATTGCTTTCAATCTGAATGGTAAATAATTATGTGGATAAATGGTAGTTTTGTAGAAATGTTAACATTATTTAACATGCACATCTTTAACCATCTTAAAAGACTTTAAAGTGACTCATTTTATGCAAGAAGATTGGAAAATTTCTCATCCCTATCCCTCAAATCACAAACACACATACCCACACACATAAACGATATACTTGCAAATAAATTTTTATTAAATAGCTTTCCCAAATATTCAAGTTTAGGTGATTTTCAAAAATCAAATAAATTGATTGTTATATAACACAAAGATGTTTTGTGAAATACTTTCCTAATATCTTTTGCATAATTATTAAGAGTATTATTTCCTGCATTTAGACATCCTACTAACAATACTACTTTGCTTGCTTGTTTTACTTGTAGTGTAATGACTTGTCTTTCTCTGTTCACACAACTGGTTGATTCTTTTTCTGTGAATTTTCTTTCATTTAGAAGTGGAATTGCATTTTAAAATATCACCTAAATGCAAGAGTTTCTTGTTATGATTGAAAAATTTAATAACTTATTGATTATAAAAATCAGTCGGCATACTGTTTTTGTTCCTTTGCTACAGTAATACCATCACCAGGCATGTTCTCAGATTCGGAATGTTCTTTAAAAATATTACTAAATGATTGGCTATGAAAATGTAAGTTTGATTTTTAATAGCCATTGCATATTACAGATAAAACCAAAACCAAATCCATTGCCATTGAGTTGATTCTGACTCATAGCAACCCTATAGGACAGAGTAGAGCTGCTCCATAGGGTTTACAAGGAGCGGCTGATGGATTTGAACTGCTGACCTTTTGGTTAGCAGCTGGGCTCTTAACCACTGTGCCACCAGGGCTCCATACAATAGATAGAAGGGTTAATATAATATGTAATGATGTTTATAGTGTTTTTGCACTAACTCCTAATTTTACTTGTAGGGGCAATTTGCAGTTTCTGCTAATCCAGCTGTGATGTAATTTTTTGCTTTTTTTTTTTTTTTTGGTTCTCATATACTGAGACCATGCATAAGAGAAATAAGTTTCATATTTTAAATTGCATATCTAATAATTTTAATAAATTTAATGAGGAAAACCATTTTTCATTACTGCAGTCTAAGAAAAAGAGCAAGTTTAATGGTAGAAAAATAATACTGTTCCTATTAAATCTGAAAATTGTACAAAAGAATTTTATAAAAATACATTTAAGAAGTAATTGCAAATGTACTAGAAAATACATTTTTGTAAAAGTAGGTAAGTGGTTAATTTGCAGTACTAATGAAATGACCGATTAATGTGGTCCAATTGCTCCTTTTTTCTTCTAAGAGTTTGTGTTAGGACATGTAGTGCTTACATGACTGGGTAGTCCAAAGTGTGAAATGATTCCGTTAGAGAAGTCTGGATCCATGTATACTCTGAACAATTATGTAATTGTTGTTATATTATCCTTTTAGGTTAGCAGTCTGAATTGATGAAATGAAATTTCAGTAAAACATAATATTAGGATTTATAGAATCCCTAAATAAGCACATGATTTAACATATTACAATCAGAAGGTAAAATTTCTTAAAAATTTCTCTTTATTATAGTGACCTGGTAATACTGTGGTTCAAATAATGTTATCTTTATTCTTAGCTGCTCATTCATAATGAAATTATGCTGTGTATTATTTCACATGAAACATTTTTTATTTTGATCACAAGCTTTACCAATTCTATATAGTAGGACTATAGAAATATTGAATATATTATTTTAATAATTTTTATTACAGAAAAAACACATGTATCATTTTTGTGAATTCACTTAATCTTATAAAAGCTAATAAAACAAAGTTTCTCCATTATTAGTTTTTCAAAAAAGAAAAAACAAAAATCCTGGGCAGAAAAATTTGAATTATGTTCTTTCGGTCCTCAAATAGTAACTGCAGTACATCACATTCATTTAGATCATAGGTCAGCAAACTAAAGTCCTTGGGCCGTATCTCATCTGTCTCTTGTTTTTGTAAATAAAATTTTTTTAGAGCACAACCATGACTATTCTTTTATGTATCGCCAATTAGAATGGCAAAGTTAATTAGTTGAGATAGAAACTGCATGGCCCACAAAATTTTTTTAATGAATATTAATATTCTCTAAAATATTATCTGGTTGGTGGCACAGTGGTTAAGAACTTGGCGGCTAACCTGAAGGTCTGGAGTTCGAATCCACCAGCCACTCCTTGGAAACCCTGTGTTCTACTCTGTCCTGTAGGGTAGCTATTAGTCGGAATCGACTCAGTGGCAGCAGGTTTCCACATTAAAAGCTGTCAGTCCCTGGTTTAAATGATATATATTGGTGAATGTGGTAGGAATTTGTCCAATGAATCACTAAAAATTTTGCACTCTGGGTTTAGTCAGTTTTATGGTAAAGTGCTCCAGTGGTTTGAACCTACCCAGCAGCTTTGTAGGAGAAAGACCTGATGATATGCTTTTGTAAAAACCGTTGTTGTTTTAGGTGCTGTGGAATCAGTTCTGACTCATAGCACTCCTCTTTTTCACTGACCCTTTACCAAGCATGATGTCCTTCTCCAGGGACTGGTCTCTCCTGATAACATGTCCAAAGTACGTGAGAGGAAGTCTCACCATCCTTGCTTCTAAGGAGCATTCTGGTTGTACTTCTTCCAAGACAAATTTGTTCATTCTTCTGGCAGTCTGTGATATATTCAGTATTCTTTGCCAAACACCATAATTCAAAGGCATTAATTTCAGCCTAGCAAACCCTATGGGGCAGTTCTGTTCTGTCTCATGGGTGGCTATAAGCTGAAAACCAATTCTATGGCAGATAGTAACTTTTATGTCAGTTTAGAAGTACTGTTTTTACACCATAATAATTTCCCTGGGAGCAGAATTAGAGAAGCCCTGGTGGTGCAGTGGTTAAAAGCTAGGCTGCTAACCGAAAGGTCAGCAGTTCAAACCCACCAGCCGCTCCATGGGAGAAAGATGTGACAGTCTGCTTCCATAAAGATTTATAGCCCTGGAAACCCTATAGGGCAGTTCTACTCTGTCCTATAGGGTAGCTATGAGTTGGAATCACCTTGATAGTGGGTTGGGAGCAAAATTAAAACGGGTTAAAATGGAGGAAATGTGGTATTTTAAGTATATACGTGAAAAATGTATTATCAGACAAAACAGATTATGTTTATGAAAATCATTAATAAAATTTAGATGTTCCAAAAATAAGTAATTAAATGTTTCAAGCATAATCTCCACAATAATATTTTTAATTTTAACCTTTGGCAATCAGAAACTTATATTAGAATTATTCCAAAGTTGTAATTTTACAATTTGCGTAGAATAGAGCAAGACTACCGGGAAACTGAATTTTAAAACTGACCAAATGAATATTTAAGTTTATTTTGTTCGGCAGTTAGCCACAGCTATTGAGAAATAATAGTGTTTGTCAAGTTCTATGGCATAGACTATCCATAGTTACAAACAAAGTGAGGAATCTCCGATGTGGGGAATTTGCAGTCTAATGGAAGGAGAAAACAAAAAGATGTCTCCTGTTAAATCAGGTAATGAACCGCAAACTTATATATTCATTATTATGAGCAATGCTAATTAGGGAAGTGCTAATGATGAGGGTTTTGGTTTTTTTTTTTTTTTTTTTGCTTTAAATGAATACTGAGGAGAGTAGTGGAAATGACAGCAACTTTGTGGGGCTTGAATTTGGAAAGAGTTCATAAGGCGGAGCCATTTTGTGGGTTTTGAAAGAGAGAAGGTGGTATATCATTTAGGAGAGAAAAATGCTTACTTCCAGATATGATGGGTAAGAAGTGTGGAATTATGTTTATTAGAATATAGTGATGGTTAATTAGTTGAAGTGCGGATTATAAATTAGTTGACTCACTAACTCTTATTGAACATGTATTATGTGCCAGGTGCTAGTGGTATAGAAAAGACTGTTGGGTCTTTACCCTTAAATGCATGCTAGTAGTTTAATGAGAAGGAAGGATTAGTAGCCAGACAACTACGATACAGTGTGATATAGATTATTACAAAGATCTAGAGCTCTAGCAGTAAGGGAGCAGGGGAATCTAACAACCTTAAATTATGGTAGGGTCAGGTAGGGCTTCCCAGAAGTTACATTGGAGTGGCTGAGTCTAGAAGAGTGAGTATAAGTTATTGAGGTGGGGTTGGGGAGTGAAGTGGAACTTCAGAGGTTCCAGGAAGAAGAGACTGATTTGGTGGGGAGAGAGATAATGCCTGGAACTTGGACAGTAGCAACTGAAAATGGGGCTGAAGAAATAATCAGAGGCTAGAATGTTAAGGGTCTTTCTTTTACCATGTTAGGAGTTTAAATCCTATCCTTAAAGTGATCAGGACCTGCTAGAGGATTTTAAGTGAATAAGTGATATAAAATATAATTAGATTTGTACTTTAGAAAGCTTCCTCCAGGAGCAATGGTTTGAGTATAAGGAGCTGATATTGTTGTCAGGTGCTGTGGAGTTGATTCCGACTTACAGCGACCCTGTGTGACAGAGTAGAACTTCCTCATAGGGGTTTTCTTGGCTGAAATCTTGAAGGCAGCACGTCACCAGGTCTTCCTCCCATGGAGCCTCTGGGTGGGTTTGAACCGCCAACTTTTCAGTTAGCAGCAGAGCACGTAATCATTTATGCCACCAGGGCTCCCATTCAAATCTTATAAAATCAGAGTTGGAAGGGACCTTATAGATGACCTAGTCCAGCGCCTGCATGTTACCAATAAGTGAGTTTTTGTTGTTCACACAGTTTACTGGGACAGAGCTGGAGCAGGGGCCCAGGTCTCTTGACTCCCAGTTCAGTGCTCTTTCTGTTCTTGACTCATTTCTGATTCATGCACTTAGTACACCAGTTGTCCTAGACTTCTGTAGCCGACAAGTGCACACCTTGGTCTAAGATTCATTCTGCCTTACTGCAGTGAATCCAGTGTTTCTCTGTAATCAGTCTTTGTTGTCATTTTCTTCCTTAGGTAGACCTGCTCTGTTCTTTTTGAGTCTCCCTCTTGCCACCTCAAGTCTGTTTTCCTACACCTTGGTACTTCTTCTGCTGGTACAGGTCCTTCCCTCATTATTCCACAAAGATAGCTGACAACAGGCTATAACTTTTAAGACACTTACAGAGGTTTGGGAATCATAGAAGGGAATTAGAATACAGAAAACATTAAACTACATGCTAGATATCAGAATCCCAAGGTCACATATTTCCCAAGAACAAACAAATTTTAGAGCTATATTTAGATAGGGAACAGTTTCTTAAAGGAAACATAATCTCCAGAAATGTAATTCTGCCCCTAAAGAAGATAGCCTTTTCCGATTATTACATAGAACACTAGTTAGGTGGAACCATGTTGTCTTGAACCTCTCTATTGGAAATTAACCCATTGCCATCAAGTTGATTCTGACTCATAGCGACCCTACAGGACAGAGTAGAACTGCCCCGTAGGGTTTTCAAGGCTGTAAATCTTTATGGAAGCAGACTGCCACATCTTTCTCCCATGGAGCAGCTGGTGGGTTTGAACCACCGACCTGTCTGTTAACAGCCGAGTGCTTAACCACTCTACCATCAGGGCTCTTTATTTGATTTACTTATGTATAACCAAAAACTCATTTAAATATTTTCTAAAGAAAGAAGTTACCATCTGCTCCTCTTCTGGGCTGTCTTCACTATGGTTCTGACCTCCACAAGGACCTCCATGTTCTTTGATCATACCCTCATGTGAGCATATATTATCCATCTCCTTCCCTCCGCTGTACCATTTCCTGGCAGTTAATGTGGCCTGGACTCAGTCACCCTAGAAGTACATCATTCTTCTCTGCCTTTCCCTCTTATTAGCGCTCACTCTGTCTCATTCTTCTTCGCCTTCCCATTCTTCAAATGTTTTGAAAACAGGTTGTTATTTTTCCTTCTTTCCTTTTTTGTTTCCTTTTCAGTCTTTGGTTATCTCCAGTTCAGCCTGTTCCTACAATTCCACTGAAGGCAGGGTGGTAATAAAGATGCCTTCAAAGGTAATAGAGCAATTATTTATAAGAATTAATCACTAATTTAATTTCTTCTTAATTATAGAAAAGATTGTAAGTTAAGAGTATATTTCTTTAATTTGCAAAAAAAAAAAAAAAAGATAAGTATTCCTGCTTTTAGCTAATACAATTCAGCATAATGCATAATTACTCAAATTTGGGCGGTGGAGTTACAACTTTGCAACTTTTTTTAAAGCCAGAGCCTAGAATTAAAATTCCCACTAAAAAGCCCCTCATGTTTCTCAGGGTGTGTGGGCAGTGTCTGTAGTTTTGTGTATACAATGCTACACAACTAGTTCTTCAGCAGTAAACCTATTGCTCCTTCTTCAATTGATGAAGAAGGCTGTATATCACACTTCTAGTTAGGGGTCATATTGTAAGACACATAAAGCCTTCTTGTTTGATTTTATCCTAGGTATGAATTAATACAGAAGGGGATAATTGAACTTCGAGATGCTGAGAATGTTCCAGATGTCTATACCCAGAATATGTTTTTAGAAAATGAGAACAAAAATCTGAAGAAAGAATTGAAGCAACACAAACAGGCGGCTGAGTATGTTATTTTTTAAATGACCATTAAAAAATATGTATTATATTGGACTCAGTAAAAGTAAGAGTTGAAGGAGGCTAATCCGTAAATGGTGGTTAATGTACCAGAGCTTTAATTCTGGAGAACTGAATTATATTTAAATTCTAGTTGGAAAGAAGGTGAAAGACTTCACTAGCCAATTAAACAGATGACCACGACTCACAACTGCAGCTCATTGACAAGAGTGGAATACAGAGGGTTCTGAAGGAAACGGTGAATTTGTTATGTAACATTCACTTACATATTTTGATAATCTTTTCATGGATTGTGAAATTTTCTCCTGGAAGATAAGCTAATTTCTGAAATGATAGTAAAGTTATAGAAAGCAGAGAGGAGAGAAGGAGCTAGTTTATTCCTAGGAGAGGAACTTCACGATTTGAAAATTCCCCATAGGAAATCTTGGTTTTGTAATTTCCTATGAATTTGTGCATGGAGGAGAAACCTTTACAGTTTGAAGCTAAATCTCTCTGCATTGTTCTTCTTTTCTAAAATCAATGGAAGCCATGCAATTTTTAGCAAACAAATTTAGATAAGCAGCCAGTGTTACTCTGGAAAAGGCAAATGGGAAAATCTATTCATCTAAGGAAATGTTATATGGAAAATCACTCCTTAGATATGGAGCTGAGACAGTTCGTGCTTCATTTATTCATTTATTTTTATTAAACATATTTTAGGAGTGCTTTGTTAAACAATCCTATTAAAACAAAAATTAGATTAACAGAACTACTATATAGGAACATAATATTTTAAAGATCTTTCTAAAAAATTTTAATGTAAAGAAACAATACTAATGATTGCAAAGTGGAGGAAACGTTTATGGGCCTTAATAAACATTTATTCTAAAATAAACCCCTGCCTTTGAAAGGTGGCTGTAAATAAAGGATAATTTGTATTATCATTTATTCAGTTATTATATGCATTTATAGAAATATTTTTACAAGGTATGTAAATTTCATATTTTCTATAGGGTCACTATGAGTCAGAGTCAACCCAGTGGCAATGGGTTTTCTTGTTTGTTTTGTTTTTATGGGTGTACTGTTTGGCATTTAAAATTTTACATTTTACATAGAAGTGCATGATGATCCAAAAGAGTCATATGTTTTTAGAACCAGTGTTCTCTCTCTATTCTTGGTTCCGTTTCTCAGAAGTGGTTTGCACTGTTTGCTTTGATGCTCACTGTAATTTTGTATAGATACCTAATGGATGTGCTGGGAATTTGACACAGCAAATTTTTCAAAGTGCTGCCTGGCATACAGTTTTAGTTCCTGATTTCTTTTGAATTATTGCTTGAGTTTGCTAATTTTCTTTTGAATAGATACATCTTCTTTATGCAATGAGCTTTGCCCCAGTGACATTAAGTAATCATTATTGATGGCTGGTTGTTTATTGAGTATTATTTAATAACTGTAATCAAAATTACATGAACTATTAACCCATGCAAATTATTAATTTAATGTTAAAAGGAACCACGATTAAAACAGGTATCGCTCAAATGAAGTCTGTCTCTTGTTTGTGTTTACTAAAGTATCTGATTATAGTTTAGTTTCAGTTGGCTTATAGGTATTTCTCAAATATATCTCATTTGATATACCAAAAAAAGACCCCCCAAAAATGTATCGCCATCAATTTGATTTGATGCCAACTCATAGCGACCCTAAAGGATAGAGTAGAGCTCTCCCATAGGGTTTTGGGGGAGTGGTTGGTGGTTTTGAACCACCGACCTTTTGGTTAGCAGCTGAGTTCTTAACCACTGCACCACCAGGACTCTTACAAATTGGAAAAGGAAAATATTTATTTGCTTTTATCTACCTGACATGGCAAATCTGAGGAGAAGCTGCTTGACCCTTAGTAGATGTTTAATATTTATGTGTTGAATTCATGTTTTCACAGCACCTTTTAGTAAATATGCCCCTGTAGCCTAGTTCTATTGGATACATCCTCAGAAAATGCAGAATGGACTTTAGTGGGAAAAAAAAAAAAATCCCAGAGATACATCTGTCATGCTATAGGCTTACCCCAAATTGTAATGCTTTCCTTAACTAGGTTTTTCAGTTTGACTTGGGAGGATAATTTTCCAGTAGGAATTAGTGATAAACATGAGATTCCTTTTATGAAATTTGACATAATGTTTGCCTTTTTAAAGCTTAGGCTGTTGTTTAAAACAAGTGCACATGTTAAATATTTTTCAAATAATTTATTTCTAATATGCAAAAAAGTCAACTTACAGTCATGTATTGTCCTTGAGTATACTGGTAGTATTTAATGGTGTATGTAGCTGTATAGTTAATATTTATCTGGGGAGAGTTGCCTTGGAAAGAGTACTAACCTTAAATTTCAAATACCTATCTTCCAATATTCTGAAACTTATTAACTCAGTTTTCTTATTGTTAATCAGGGAGCAATTATATATAATATTATTAATTCCTAGGGAATGATGTGATAATTAAATGAGACAATCTATGTTAAAGAGCTGTGCAATACAGAGTGCTTTGAAAATGTCAGCTATCTTGATATATCTATATCTCTAAAGGCTGTCATCCCTAGACTTTTTTGTAATCATCACAACTTTAATACTTTTAAAATTCAGCAGTGATGAAGCATGGAGGAAGAAATGAAAGAAGGAGTATTTCACTCTAAAATATTGTTTGAATTTCTATAATTAATACAAGGACTTATCTTTTCCTGACTTATAATCCTCACAAGTCAAATAGAATTGCCAATTTTAAAACAAGAGAGGTTTTCATTATACGTGGTGAGATATAGATTTTCTTCTAAGATATATAGTTGGGGGAATAACTGTAAGGATAGTTTCTTTATATATACTCTAAGGGGTAAAAAGGACAATATTGTTAAAAAAATTATAGTTACATTTAAGGTAAAAGTATATTGCGTACTAGATAAGGAGAGGAATGACGTAAGAAATAGTTTGACATTCATATTTGGAAAAAGAACATAACTTTAGTTTTCTATTGGAATGTAGACCAATTATTATTTTAAATGAGGAGATTTAGAATTTAAGCGACCTTAAATTAGCAGAGAACTGATGTTTGAATGAAGACTAGAAAAGGCAGTATTTCATAAACGTTGTTTTAATTGGTAGCTGGCATGCCAAAAGATTTACAGTGGTCTGATGTCCACAAATAAATATTAGTAGTTTCATTAATTAGTAACTTTTTGGTTGATCTTGTTGTCTTTATTAACTAACATTTTATGTCTTTTCATACTGTTGTTGTTAGGTACTGACAAGTCAGTTCCAATTCATAGCGACCCAGTGTACAACAGAAGGAAACACTGCCTGATCCTGCGCCATCGTCACAATTTTTGCTATGCTGAGCCCACTGTTGAAGCGACTGTGTTAGTCCATCTCCTTGAGGGTCTTCCTCTTATCGCTGATCCTCTACTTTACCAGACATGAGGGTGTCCTTCTCCAGGGACTGGTCCCTCCTGATAACATGTCCAAAGTACTTGAGATGAATCTCGCCATCCTCACTTCTAAGGAACATTCTGGCTGTGCTTCTTCCAAGACAAATTTGTTTTTCTGGCAGTCCATGGTATCTTCAGTATTCTTTGCCAACAGCATAACTCAAAGGCATCACCTCTTCTTTGGTCTTCCCTTACTCATTGTTCAGCTTTCGCATGCATATGAGGTGATTGAAAATACCATGGCTTAGGTCAGGCATACCTTAGTCCTCAAAATGACATGTTTGCTTTTTAACACTTTAAAGAGGTCCTTTGCAGCAGATTTGCCCGATGCAGTATGTCGTTTGATTTCTTGACTCCTGCTTCCATGAGCATTGATTGTGGATCCAAGTAAAATGAAACCCTGGACAACATCAATCTTTTCTCCATTTATCATGATGTTGCTTATTGGGCCAGTTGTGGGAATTTTTATTTTCTTTATGTTGAGGTGTAATCCATACTGAAGGCTGTACTCTTTGATCATCAGTAAGTGCTTCAGATCCTCTTCACTTTCCAGTGAGCAAGGTTGTGTCATCTCCATATCCCAGGTTAATGAATCTTCCTCCAATCTTGATGCCTTCCTCTTCTTCATATATTCTAGCTTCTTGGGTTATCTTCTCAGCATACGGATTGAATAAGTATAGTGAAAGGATACAACCCCGACATACACCTTTCCTGACTTTAAGTCATGCAGTATCCCCTTGTTCTGTTTGAACAACTGCCTCTTGGTCTATGTACAGGTTCCTCATGATCACAATTAAGTGTTATGAAATTCCATTCTCCACAATGTTAATCCGTAATTTGTTATGATCCACACAGTCGAATGCCTTTGCATAGTCAATAAAACACAGGTAAACATCATTCTGGTAGTCTCTTGCTTTCAGCCAAGATCATCTGACATCAGCAGTGATATCCCTTCTTCCATGTCCTTTTCTTAATCCAGCTTGAATTTTGGGCAGTTACCAGTCGATGTACTGCTGCAACCGTTTTTTAATGATCTTCAGCAAAATTTTACTTGCATGTGATATTAATGATATTGTTCGATAATTTCTGCATTCTTTTGGATCACCTTTCTTTGGAATGAGCACAAATATGGATCTCTTCCAGTGAGTTGGCCAGGTAGCCATTTTCCAAAGTCTTGGTATAGATCATTGCTTCCAGCATTGCATCTGTTTGTTGAAACGTCTCAGTTGGTATTCCGTCAATTCCTGGAGACTTGTTTTTCACCAGTGCCTTCAGTGCAGCTTGGACATCTTCCTTCAGTAACATCGGTTCTTGATCACGTGCCACCTCCTGAAATGATTGAATGTCAACCAGTGCTTTTTGGTTCAGTGACTCTGTGTATTCCTTCCATATTCTTTGGATACTTTGTGTCGTTTAATATTTTGCCCACAGAATCCCCCAGTATTGCAGCTTGAGTCCTGAATTTTAATTCAGTACTTTCATCTTGAGAAATTATGAACATATTCTTTCTTCCCTTCTGGTTTTCTAACTCAAGGTCTTTG